GAGAAATCGCACCGTAATAGCGGTGGACGGGGCCCGCCTCTGCGCACCACGTGCATTGGAATTGAGTCTTCACGGCTCGCCGAGCAGCTTCGGCTCTAAACAAATAACTCCACGTGGAGCAGGGGATGGGGTGGCGAGAGTCAAGGATGGATTTGTAGTCGGGGGATGGGGGGGAGTGTTGGAGGGAGGGGGCGGACGCGCACGCGATGCGTCGGTTTTAACAATTCATTCAATGTGCCTCGTTACCCGCATTCCACATGCAAACACTGCCGCCGGTGTCACGCCGTGAGAAATTTCCACTTAAAACCGACACATTCCCATTGCGCGCGTCTCTCTCTCTCTTGGAGCTCTCGCGTCCAGCAGCGTGTCACATCGCCGCATCTCAGAGAGCGGCGTCCGGAACAGAACATCGCAGAACTACTTCTGAGGCACCACTCAAATTCCGAATCTATTACTGGTAGGAACCTCCTGGTTACACCAGCCCACAGGGGATTATTGTGTCCGTCCGTCCGTCGTGCATCCAAAAATGGGAGGGGTGGGGCTGGGTGGAGAGGGGAGGGTGGGGAGGGGCTGAGTGGGGAGGGGAGGGTGGGGAGGGAGGGGCTGGGTGGGGGGTGGGAGGGGTGGGGCTGGGTGGGGAGGGGCTGGTCACCCCGTGGTGCCCTTATACAACTCAACGTTTAGTCTACTCACGCCGGCTTGTGCCCGCCCTCACAGTCGGGCATATTTGCGGAATACACCACGCCGCCGTTGACCCTGGCCATTGACCGAGCAACCCAACGTTCCTACCAGCTCCCTCCGCAGGAATGTGTTTATTTATACTGGAGGAATACGACGAGCTACAACAATTTTCTTTTCACAGATGTCCAGTCAGGTGATGGCGGTGGCAGTGATTGTGGCGGTGATGTACCTTATCATGTGTCCTGCTAGTGAGACGCATTTGTTGCGTGGCAATCAGACCAACAATGTCATCATCATCATCTTCACTCGCTCTCTTCGAGAGAGTGAACACTGCCGCACAGTATTGGCAATGCACCGCTGCCAAAGCAGTCTCGCAGGAAGAAACAAAGTTAGCATTTGCATCAGCTGAGCAACGTGGCATTGTTTCTCTTTGAACAGCTACCGCTGGCTGCCGTGTGATGTGGTTTATACCGTGTTTTATACGCTAATAGATTATCCCTGATTATAACCGTCTGTGATTGGCTGGAATCCATCCTGTGTCGCTCATTCTGATTGAAAACGTATTCGCTGTGTGCATTCATTTGAATGAATGAATGTATGCTGTTGAACTTCATTCGCACCCTACGGAGCCAACCATACTGTATGTACGTCTTATCCGAACCGTGAATATGATGACACTGTATTTTCTTTCGAGGATGTATGCGTTTGTTTATAGCTCATAATTTTCTCAAATACCATTTTATTTTGAGAAACGCCCGCTTATAACGTGGATTACCCACAATCCATCAGCTAATAGCTCATCCCATCGTCCCTCTGCGGTCAATGAAAACAGAGCCACTTTTCTGAGAATTCATCAACGGTTCGTTTCCCAATGGAATGAGCAAAAAATAAATGTCCGTACACAGCACCGTGTCATTTCTACCGCTGAGACAGAAACCGACCACCGACGGAGCCGAACACAATCCCAGTGCGTACGCCCCTTTGAGCAGCGAGACATTTTGATCTCCCTTGGTAACAAAAATAAATTGCGGTGTTTCTTAAAGGAATGCCACTCACTGCACCGACGGCTCGCAGATCAAGATCTTCGCCGCGCACCTGTGAAACGCTCCGTGAATATTTGACGACATGCGAAGTGATTCAACCGCCTCCTTTATTTATACACCGTGGTTATTTTTTCCCCTCTTTCCAATTAAATATTCACTCGACAATTAACCCCGGCTCATTTCATGGCTCGGTTCGTTAAGCCTCTCTGGATAGGTGTCCCCTCTAACCTTCTCAACCCCCCCCCCCACACACACACACAATTTACAACCCCCCTGTTCTAAACTAAACAATTTTTTTTATTTTATCAGGGAAGGCCCGCTGACCTATAAAGCTTTTTTTTCAGAAGCGACCTGGCCACAAATGACAGCCACATTAAGTGGCTTATCAAGTGGAAAATGTAAAGCAGCCAAATCCTCTAAAAGCATGTTGATTCCAAATGTGGAGGGGGAAACCGGAGGAGCCGGAACATTTTTCACACGACCAAGGGGAGAGAGACGTGAAAACTCCAAATACACAGGCGTCGGGATTGAAGCGACGACCTCCTGTTTCCTAGGCGAGGGAGTTAACATCTCGCCACAGCGCCGCTCTAACCCTAACCCTCCCCTACCCACATCAAGACCACCAGCATCCCTCCACTCTTCGTCTCCAGTCAGCTCTTAACTCTCCCACACCGGGAGATGTAAAGCCGTTACCAGATTTATGAGGCATGTGCTGTTAGCGAGCACCTATTACATTCCGGCACGCCGCACGAGGGGGTGGCGTGACCGCTCGACACTGAACGAGCGGTGGGAATTCCACGTTACGCTGACAGCAGCGGTTGTTCTCCATAGTGAGTGGCACTCGTTTTATCAACCCATTGTGACCATCGCTATGTTATCATCATCATCATTGTCACGCATCGTCAGCTTTGATACAAGACTTCAGATTAGGATGTGTAGCATGCGAAGACATTTTATTGCATACAATATTTCAGAAACCCGGGGTAAAATATACCCTCGCAGATAGAGGCGTCGAAAGTCGTGAAGCAGCAATAAAATATTTATTTTTTTAGCCAACATAAGCGTAAACATAATCGTGGTTACATTTTTACCTAAAACTTTCGTAACTGCAGGAATTCATATTCTTGGTTCTTTCGGTAAAGTCACGTAGCTAGAAAAAAAAATAGATTTTAAATAAAACATAAATAAAAGCAAAAAACCCACGACGTTTCGATCGCAACAGAAGCGGTCTTCATCAGGAGGAGAGAAATTAGCTCTTTTCTCTCCGCGTTTTTTTTGCTTAGATTATTTTCAAAGTATTATTTATGTATTTTATCTACGTCACTTTACCGTAAGAACCAAGACTATGAATTCCTGCAGTCACGAAAGTTTCAAGTCAAAATAGAAGCTTAAACAATGTCGCCATCATCATCATCAGCAGCAGCAGATACAACAGCAGCCGCAACAGAAATAGTTGCTGCCTTCGCCCTGGAGTCTTGATCAATTATTCAGCAACCTCGTGGCGTCTGCACGTGTCACATCTCAGCTTCAGGGAGGAAATTCGCTGCGTAAGTAGGTCTCCGTAAATGTGCATCCGCGCGTACACGTGAGAGTGCTGTGGGTCGGTGTCCTTGCACGTGCTCGCAAACAGCACTTGCCCCAACAGTCTGTTGAGGCTACGGGGGGGATGATAATAGTTTTTTTTACCCTTTTATCTGGCAACAAAACTGACACCTTTTTTTACAAGGAGTAATGTTTGCATTGACCACAATACCTGCGGTCGGAATGCAAACAAAAAGCATAACTCTGATAATGTATGCACTGTCCTTGAAATTGATTGGTCCACACCCGAGACAGCTTTTCTTAGAGCCTAGTCTCACATGGTGTTGGACCAGATGACGCCAAAAGGCGCACTACTCAAAGACAATGCACCATCAGAGTATGAGAGCTCGGGGCTAAGTATTTACACCATTGGAACCTCCTTTGTCAGTAGCAAAATATGATATTTGGGTTTTTACCCTTTATTCTGGCAACAAAACTGACACCTTTTTTGTTTTACGAGGGGGATCTTTGTCTTTTTTGTTGTGGGAACGGCGGTGAACAACTCGCGGTTCGTTTGCAGATCACGCTCTGAAACCAGACCGCCTCGGTTCGATTCCCGCCCGTGGTTAACACCTCTCGGCGAGTGACATCTCATCGGGCCCTGCGTCTGCGTTTTAGGTTGACTCGGCCTTAAATGAGTACCTCGTTTGGTGTGTGTAAACATCGGTGCTGCGGAGACAAAGGCGGCCGGGTGTGGTGCTATCCATGCCGTCCTACTGTTATGCCCTCTTCAAGACCTCCTTGATAACTGCTCGCTGGAAGCACTTGCTGCAACCTCCTGTTCCAGGCTATAGAGATGAATTTTGTCTTTTTTTATATAAGATACATGTTTATGGAAACGTATACAAAAACGAACAGTAGGCATCGATTTTCATTGCGAAGGTAAAACGGGGTTGTTGTTTTTCTTGATTTCAAGCTTTCGTGACTGCAGGAATCCATACTCTTTGGTTCTTTCGATAAAAGAGTATGTTTTTTTCCTATCATCTTTTCATCTTTTCACCCAATTATATTCCAACCGTGCTGCAGCGACGGGTTATGTGATACGCGGTAGTCTCTGGATTCTTGACGTTGAACGTCTCAACATCGCTTCGTGTCAGCAATCATCGCTGGACAATTACTTCAGAACTACTTTTGAGGTCACTTCAACGGATCTCTCCTCCACCAAGACAAAGATCTCCCGTATAGCCTTAACAGACACGTTGGGGCAAGTGCTGTTAGTGAGCAGCATCTGTGAAGGCCGGCACGGCACACGAGGGGGTGGGTGGCCAGCGCCACGCCCGACCGCATTTGTCTCCTAAGTGGCGATGCTTTAGACACCGTACTCGGTACTCATTTGAGGCTGAGTCGACCTAGGGGTAGCCCAGGACGGGTTCAGACAATCGTCACTGGTGTTGGCCGTGAGCGAGAATCGAACCCGGGGTCGCCGGTTTCGTAGCTCAGCGCGATAACCGCTGTGCCACCACTCCCAGCGAAGTGGACAAACAAAAACAACAACAGCAGCAACCCCCGTTCACCACTAAGCAGCGGTGACGTCACCGCAGCGCTCGTGCCAGGCTAGGTGCGCCGCGCGAAGTGTGGTGTGCCCCGCTAGCAAGAGGTCGCACGCAGCGCCTGCTCCGTCGGCCCCCGTGCGAAGGCGACGCGCGGGGCGGACTTCTTATCGATGTGCCCCCCCCCCCCGTCCCTTGCCCTCAGTCTGCCCGGCACGGTGAAGCGCCGGGTGAACGCCCTCAGGAACCTGCAGCTGCGCTACGTGCAGCTCGAGTCGCGCTTCTACCACGAGGTGCACGGCCTGGAGTGCAAGTACGCATCTCTCTACCAGCCCTACCTGCAGCGGGTACGAACCGGTGTGTTGATTTGTCGTATCGAACATTCCCTGCCCCCCCTATTATTTATAAATGGATCGCCGTTTTTATTAATTTTTTTACATACTACTTCTCTCACCCGCCATGGGAATGCGGAATTTCCATTACTGGCGAAGAGCGACTAGCGGAGGATGAGCGCGGCATCACGGTGGCTTTGACTTGTTCGTCTCTTGTTCATTCCCACTGTAACCCGACGGCTATGCGCGTCGCATCCCTCTTACGCGCTGCCCCCAACCGTTGCCACACTTCAGTTTCGTGTCCGGCACGTCTACCGTGACCGGACAAGCGACCAAACTGGGGACGGGAGGAGCGCCGGTGCCAGGCAGCGGAAATGCCGAATGGAGCGGCTAAGCATAAAAAGAGCCGGCATAATCGGCCCCCTTGACAACAACAACAACAAAAAAACCCTGACATCGCATTGCGTCATTGCTGCAAAAACCCGGACACGGCGATCAATTCCTGGGCTATCCGGGTCACACCGGGACATTGGGGCGATTCCCCCACGAGCGACCCCCCCTCCCCCCCACGCCTTTGGGTAGATTCCCACCCAGCGACGGCCGGCGCCTGCTGCTTCCCCCTCCTGCGGGCGGTCATTCGGCTTTAGCGGGTGGGCATAGGGGGGGGGGGGGTCCCATGAAGATAATCATCGTGGTTTAATTTCTCCTCTCGGTATTTTCCGGAACGCTCCTCGACTGGCTTGGAGCAAGGATCGTCGGCATGAGGCACCACCAGTAGAGTACAATATACGCATTAACCATGATAATCCTCGGGTGAAAAATAAGAATAAGTGTTACCCTTTCTGGCAATAAAACAGGTGTTAAGATGTTCAAACACCAAATAGATGCTTTTTGCAACACCTCTTTTATTGCCATTTTTCATACTTTGATGCTGAGAAAAAAGGTACCATGACATAATTATGCCCTATATTCCTTCGATAACATGGACAAGCTTAGCACAAAACAAGGCGAGTTGGATGTGGCTAGGTGCCAAAATAATTCCAGGAAGAGCAGAAATAAATCATTGCTCATCGTCGTCATCGTCGATCGTGCGGTGCAAGTCGAGGCGCCAGTACCAAGGGGGCATTCGAGGCGCCCTGAGAACGATTCTTTAAGGGCACTTTGTAAATTTAAATTATTATTATTACTACTACCATGATCGATGAGCGTGGAAGGGAAGGGATCGAAGACCAAACGCAGCGTGCGGGGTGAAGGGGGTCGGAGTGGGAGCGGGCGGAGGGGGCGAATGGTGCGGGATGGGACGATGACCACACATTTGACCGGAGGAAGCCAACTGCACGTGTGGAACTTCTTTAGCTCCGTACGTAGCCATCCGTGCTAATCGCAGGTGCTGGGTGAAGGACAATAAAGCGAACACAAAAAGCAATTTGCCCACCTCTGGCCAAGCACGGCTGAGGGCCACTCGTGAACAGATGGTGAATGTGTTGGTGCGATGCTTGATCACCATTGCCTCCTTACTTTGGCATTCGCAGCATTCGCAATTAGGGGAATGGGCAGCGCGTGGAGCGTTGCCGACCGCGTGGGTGCGCGAGATTAACGAGGGGTGGCGTGAGATCATCCGTGGCGGGGCGAGGGGGGGGGGGTGAGAATGGTGGCATGGGAAGTTTCTCGATCGCCGGGTGGATCTGCGGCGGCGTGAGAGGCCAACGGGGAGGGGACATTTGCGTTGCGTCATTCGTCCGATTTGTGGAGTCGAACTCAGACCACCGGCTTCGTTGGCGCGGTGCCCTGACCACCGCACCGACGGTCCAGCCCTTGAAATGTCATATTAATAGTAAGCACTGCGTAATATATTGAAATGTGCATGGGATTATTTTGTTTTCTGGACAGATTATTTGGTGACACTGCTTTGGCAGTGGTGGTGCACAAATAGCAGATATCTCGACACATTCGTCAATAACACTGTGGCCTTTTAAGGGCAATGGCCCTTATTCGTAGCGCGTGCTATGACGCGGGGAGGCGACATGCATCTCACGTGCTACGATGAAGGGATTTTGCCTGAAACGTCACCTAATATTCTCTTCTTTTTTTATTCTGCAGTGCTATCGATTAACCTGTTGCGGTTCTATTTATTAATTAATACAAATGCTGCATGGCACTCGCCCGGGAACGCCGGAGCGTTCCGCCACTTCGACCGCGAGGTCTCGAGACGGCGGGCGAGCACAGCAACTGAATTACAAATCGCCGCTCGCAGTCATTCACTTCTTCCTACAGCTCAATTCTCTCCACATCCGCGGCGCTGCTTGTCGAACGCTCGCGTGGCGGGCGCGCGACCGGCGTCGGTGTGCCGGCCGCGAGCGATTTCAGCCCCATCCGATGTTCAGAAAGTTATTGATAAAAAATTCCATCGATTCGGCAGGTTTGTTGGTTTTTTTCGTGCAATGCATTTTGGCGGAAACCGCCTCAAACCCCCCTACCCCCCGCCCCCGCTGGCGCATATCAGCCTATTAATGCAGACTGCAGGAGGAATCCGAAGAGCTGTGAAGCTCTTTGTCACAGATGTCCAGTCGGGGCGGGTCAGCGGGTTGCGTAAATCAGGCTGCTGCTGTCATCGTCGGCGGCGGTCGCTTGTCTTGATCTCGGGGGTCAAACGTCTCGACCTCTTGTTGATTCACTGCGTTTCCCAACAGAGGCGAGATATTGTGAGCGGGACGCTGGAGCCCTCAGAGGTGGAAACCGAATGGACTCTCAACGACGAAGAACACGTGAGCGACAAGACGCGTCAAGTCCGCTCGCCCGTCTCCCTCGCCCTCTCGACCGCCGTGCCCACTACCCCTCTCCCCATCATCTCTCCCCCGCTGGCTGTCTCTCAGACAGTTCGTGGAGTGCTTGCAATCGAGGGGCGGGGGAGAGGTTAGGAGTTGGATTCCATGGTCGGGAGTCGACTGAATCCGACATCCCTCTGGGGTTGATGTATTGGTACGGGATCCACAGGGCGGTTTGTCTCATGCGGGAGCACCCCCCCCCCCTCCACCATGTCCTCACAGCCCTCTTATCTCTCCACCGCTGGATGAAGGCCTCGGGCCATGCGGTGCGGGTCATGCGAGTTCGTCCTTTTCTGACCGCACCTCACCAAGCCGGTCAGTTGCCCGGTTGGTGAAGCTGGGGAGGGTTGACGTGTGAACAGAGGGGAATGGCGCAACACTCGATTTGTGTGCACTGTTCCCTCTGCTGCCCACCGCCACGTAGCCCCACAGGAGCAACGTGTGTTGTAATGCATGGTGGCCAATCGTCCGGGCACTATCCAGGGCCAGGTTTGTGTGACCTTCTGAGATCGGACAACACTGCCTACCATGGTACACTCGGGGTTAATTGGTCACGCGCCTCTCGAGCTTGGTGTGCGTTGGGGTCTTTCGGTAAAGTCACGTAGATAGGTTCAAATTAATGAAAGAAAATAAACAAAATCCACGACGTTTCGATCACAACACAAGCGATCGTCATAATTTGAACCTATCTACGTGACTTTACCGAAAGAATATGAATTCCTGCAGTCACGAAAGCTTTAAGTCAAGAATTAATGTGCACACTCTATTTTACTCGCCTCCTCTCCCTCTCTGCCTCTCGCAATCCTCCTCCTCTTCTCATCACTCCCGGCCTCTCTCCGTCTCTCTCTCTCATTCTCGTTATCTCTCTTTTACTTCGTCTTTTAAAATGTCCTTCCCTCTCTTCCCCCTCCCCTCCCTCCACCTCCTCCTCCTCCTCTCTCCACCGCCCTCCCTCATTTTCTCGGAATCTCCCTCTCACACCTCCCACCCTCCCTTCAGACCCTCTCCTTCCCAAACTCGCATTCCCTATCGCCATGCCTCACCCCCTCCTTATCACCCCCACTACCCCTCTTCATTCTACTGTCTCATTCCCTCTCGCCATGTGTCATCCCCTCCTTACCACCCCCCCACTACCCCTCTTCATTCTACTGTCTCATTCCCTCTCGCCATGCCTCATCCCCTCCTTATCACCCCCCACTACCCCTCTTCATTCTACTGTCTCATTCCCTCTCGCCATGTGTCATCCCCTCCTTACCACCCCCCCACTACCCCTCTTCATTCTACTGTCTCATTCCCTCTCGCCATGCCTCATCCCCTCCTTACCACCCCCCACTACCCCTCTTCATTCTACTGTCTCATTCCCTCTCGCCATGTGTCATCCCCTCCTTACCACCCCCCCACTACCCCTCTTCATTCTACTGTCTCATTCCCTCTCGCCATGCCTCATCCCCTCCTTACCACCCCCCACTACCCCTCTTCATTCTACTGTCTCATTCCCTCTCGCCATGTGTCATCCCCTCCTTACCACCCCCCCACTACCCCTCTTCATTCTACTGTCTCATTCCCTCTCGCCATGCCTCATCCCCTCCTTACCACCCCCACTACCCCTCTTCATTCTACTGTCTCATTCCCTCTCGCCATGTGTCATCCCCTCCTTACCACCCCCCACTACCCCTCTTCATTCTACTGTCTCATTCCCTCTCGCCATGCCTCATCCCCTCCTTATCTGCCTCCCTTCTCCTCCCACTCCTCCGCCCGGCCCCGTCCCTGTGTCCCTATGACATTCCCATCAATACCGCCCGTGCCTGGCCGCCGTGAATGTTAATTGGCGATCTCCCCCGCAGCCCCCCCTTCCTCCCCCATCCTTTGAGCCCAGACCGGCGGCGATGCCACCCCCACCCCCTCCCTCTCCAAGCCGATGACGCGCCTCGGCCCACGTCCAGGGGGAGCGGAGAGCGACGATCGTTACCCACGGGACACTCGTTCTAGACGAGAGTCGGCGGGGGCAGCTAATTGTAATTGCGTAATCACTCATGCGCCTAACCGTGTTGTTGGCCTCGCGATTACCACAAAAAGAAAGGGAACGGCCAGAGAGCGAGGAGACTTGGGCCGCGTTCGACAAATACAATCGGAGATAATAACCGCACTCTTAACCGGGCTCTTCCTGCACACAGATGCCGTCTTATTTCTGTCCTCCTTCCCACGTCCTATAAGATGATTGGTTGGTCAGGACTCGCTTTGATTTGTCTACAGGGCCCGATTTAAATATATTTGCCGCATGGGCAGCAGAGCAGGAAAACCCCAGCCGCCCCATCTCCACCAGCCTTTTACAAAGACAGGCAACGCAGACGCATTCACATATATACGGACTGACACACAAAGACAAATATCCCCCGGATAGCCTGAACGGACTGTTGGGGCAAGTGCTGTTAGCGAGCACGTGTGATGACCGGCAAGGCACACGAGGTGGTGGGTGGCCAGTACCACACCCGGTCGCCTTTGTCTCCCCAGTGGCGATGTTTATGCACCGCACCAGGTACTCATTTGAGGCTGAGCCTATCTAGTGGAGACCCAGGACCGGTTCAAAAATTCGCTACTGTTATTGGTCATCAGCGGGAATTGAACTCGGATCGCCGGGTTCGTAGTGTAACGCGCTTACCGCTGCACAAGACACACACACACACACAGTCACATACACACAGACATACACACATGTAGGCACACACACACAATCCCCACCCCCTCGTGTGCTGCGCGAGTGCGATATGGCAGGGTTAATCTGTGTCGGATGGGGGAAATTGGAGGGAGAAATTAGAACGCCCACATACAACAGTAATGCATAAAAGTAGCAGTGCTTATGTGTTTTGACCCAGTTTATGTAATAGCATGTGTGATGGGGGCGGGGGGGGACTTCCCCGTGGGGACCTCTGCAGTTTTGACGCCGGACAAAATGTCCCATTTGCCCTCCACTACGATGAAACTCCCTCCCCGTGCCTGCCCTCCACAAAACGAGCCTCATCCATCACCCAGCTCCACCCACCACGTAGCGCCACCCACCACTTAGCCCCACCCACCACCTAGCCCCACCCACCACTTAGACCCGACCAACCACCTAGCCCCACCCACCACCTAGACCCACCCACCACCTAGCTCCACCCACCACTTAGACCCGACCAACCACCTAGCCCCACCCACCACCTAGCCCCACCTACCACCTAGCCCCACCCACCACCTAGCCCCACCCACCACTTAGACCACACCCACCACCTATCCCCACCCACCACCTAGCCCCACCCACCACCTAGCCCCACCCACCACTTAGACCCGACCAACCACCTAGCCCCACCCACCACCTAGACCCACCCACCACCTAGCTCCACCCACCACTTAGACCCGACCAACCACCTAGCCCCACCCACCACCTAGCCCCACCCACCACCTAGCCCCACCCACCACCTAGCCCCACCCACCACCTAGCCCCACCCACCACCCAGCTCCACCCACCACCTAGCCCCACCCACCACTTAGCCCCACCCACCACCTAGCCCCACCCACCACCTAGCCCCACCCACCACCTAGCCCCACCCACCACCTATCCCCACCCACCACTTATCCCCACCCATCACTTATCCCCACCCACCACTTAGCCCCACCCACCACTTATCCCCACCCACCACTTATCACCACTCAACATAGTCCTGGAAGATGACGTTGGCCAGCGAATGTTGAGGTATCTCGATGGACCCCTCTTTATCCACACTCGGTCACGTGATGCGGCCCGAATCGCACAACATTTGCTTTCGTGCAGTCATTGGTGGACTGAAGGCCATCGACTCGCTGAGCTTGAGAGCCCGGGGCAATCACGCGTCTCAGTGGTTGGCGGTGCCTTTCTCTGACTCCTGATCCTCCTTCCTCGCTCTGACCCACTTCAACTCTCCACCGTGCTGTCCCTCATCTCGATCTGTGCTCCTCTGCCTCGTTCATTTCATTCGCCTACAGCTAAAAGCGTGTGTATAGTTTTCACGAATTGTAAATAGATTGAATCTTACCCACATGATTCTCTGTAGAGATAATAATAGATTTTAATGAACGAATTCATTATTATGTCTATGTTGCTACATTCGTAATAAATGCATGTAATCGATGGCGCATTAAGTGCATGCATGAGTAAATGCTTCCAGTGTTTACGCACGAACGCACACAATTGTGTGCACGTGCCGTGATCATGCGAATCAATTTTAATTCACGAGCCGATGAATGTGTTGCGTGCCTAATAAGCACGCGTCTAACAATCACCACCAAACCACCGCTCCCGCACCCCAGCAGGAGGCGAACCAGGGAGAGGAGGAGGAGGAGAAGGAGGCCAACAAGGAGAGCCACGACGAGCAGAGTGAAGACGTCTTGGGAATCCCCGAATTCTGGCTCACGATCCTGAAAAACTCGGACCTTCTCGCTTACGCAGTTCAGGTAACGGCCGCAATAACCTCAGGATATCCACAGTTGTTGTTGTTGTTTTCTTCCTCTGTGTTTACTAAAAACGCGAGCGCCCTCACAGCTCGTCACGCAATTCCGGGGGTCCAAAATTCGCGAGAACCGTCCCGACGGCACTGGGCCGTATATGGGGGGAGGGGCCTAAAAGTTGGAGAGACGGGGCCAGCTGCAATGATCCGGTGGTGCCTTCCTGAGAAAACAAGAATCGTCGTGATCATAAGCAAATATTGTAATCATGGTCGACATTTCGCTGCACACGCTGCGAGTTTCCCCAGCTGAAGATTAAGAAGCACGTGGAGCGAAACGTCGGACATCGTGCCGGACAACGCGCGGGTAACAACCCGACAACCAATTCCAGAGCGAACTGGTCCCTGTCATGGGAACGTGGAATTTTCCACCAAAACAGAGGCGAATGGCCTGTAATCTCCCTTCCTCCTCCTCCCTCCCCCACATGAATTAATTTGAGCAAAATCTCAGCGAACTGTAACCAGCGGCAAACAACGGGGGGGGACACATTTTTAAATCGGGCATTTAATAGGCAAGGATAACAGATGCGGGTAAATAAAGGAGGGGAATTAATTAGCGCGTGGAACGTGCGAAAAATCAAACGCGGGGAAGGCGTCTCGGGGAGGATGGTGGGGGGGGGGGGGGGTGTTGGGTGGGGGGGGGGTGTTGGGTGGGAAGGTGGGGGACGTTCTTGAAGTGCCGGTGCATTGGAGAAGAGTCGGTGAGAAATCGCCTTTTAAAGTCAAAATAATCAAAAACTCCGACTCCTGCTCGGGAGAGAAAAGCTCAAGGGTCAGTGTTCACTTAGCGAGGGGGTTTTGTACTCCCGTCACATTCCAGCTCGAGTCAACGACACCGCCGCGTGCGATGTATTCGTCAAGTCTCACGTGGTCTGTGGAGATTCATTTAATCGTCGTCTCGACGAGTCTAGACGACTAAAGCGGTCAGACGCAGAGTCTGACTTTCCGCGTTATAAAATGTTGGTTTGTGGGGCGTGCAATTGCCTCGACGCCCCCCCATTCTCCCCCCACACCTCCCCCTCCACCTCCAATATGACCAAGCCCAGCCAATCGGTGAACACGGTCGTGTTAATGCACGCGGTGGATTTGAACACGAGCCGAGTCGTCAGTCCTCGCGTGTGCTGTCAAACTTCGCGGTGCACCGTCCGTCTCCGATTGCGCTATCAAATTACCATGGGCCCGCGTCTCCATTGAGTCACCTCGTTAGCCTCAACCTCGTTAGCCTCCACCTCGTCAGGCTCAACCTCGTCAGGCTCAACCTCGTGAGGCTCAACCTCGTCCCAGCCACTCACGCTTTGGTCTCTGATGGGCCAGCGACCCGTTGGTCACCGATGATGATTTGTCGCCCATCAACGCACGCCCCCGTCGGTGACATTTAACGCAGACGCGCGCACAGAAGGCTCCTTCGGCGAATACATTCGCGGCACTGAATTTGTCAACGGCACGAACGCCGGTCCGGCGCTGGGTGGCCACCCATCCCTCGATGCCGGTGACCCTGAGGGGCGAGCGATGGAGAGAGATCCCACGGTCCTCCTGTGAGCTGCCGTCAAAGCAAGAGTGATCCGGGCCGCCAAAGTTTCGGGGTGGAATTTATTTGAGGCCATCAACACAGCACCACGCACAGAGACGCGACGGCGGCTTGGGAATAGGCACCCTCGCGACGACCTCCACCTGATCCACCGACTCTATCTCTCCAAAGCGACCCCGGGCGTCGCTCGCGGTGCAACTCGACCGACTTCATAGGGCCGAGGCGGTTACTGAGATGGCGGCGGAGCTCATTCGATTTAGTTAATGGAGAAAATCAAGACTTTACGATGTTTAATTGACCGTGGGTTTATATTCTTCTCCTCCTAAGCCTGCCCCATTGCGTGTGCACGTGCGTGCTCGTGCATGCGTTGGTATGTGTTTCATTTCATTGTCTGTGTGTGTGTGCGGTGTGTGTGTTGAGTGTGTGCGTGTTTGGGTTATGGGGAGCGGTAGTGTAGCGGGTAGCTCGCTGCGCTACCAATCCGGTCACCCGGGTTCAATTGCCGCTCACGGGCAACACCAGTGACGATTATCTGAACCTGTGATGGGCCTCCCCTAGGTCGACTCAGCATCAAATTAGTACCCAGTATGGTGTGTAAAGCTCGACACTAGGGAGACAAAGACGGTCGGGCGTGGTGCTGGCCACCCACCTCGTTGTGTGCCGTGCCGGCCTTCATAGGTGCTCGCTAACAGCACTTGACCCAACAGTCTGTGTGCGCTATACCGTGGATCTTTGTCTGTGTTCACTCAATTCAACAATCCCATTTTCACACCTCCCAGCGAATTTCCTCGGCGTTACCCTCATCACTTTCATCCCATTGTACGTTTGCTTCAGATTTTTGTCGTTTCATCTCCACGTGCATAATTACATATGCTCACACACACACACGTGGCCTCCTCGTGCATTATACATGAGCTCCGTTAACTTTGAACATTCATCTCCACGAACAGGATATAGAAGAAAAAATTTCCCACATCAATAGCGACAGCAACAGGGGTTAGGGAAGGGAGGGAGGTGGGGGAATGCCATTCCATTGTTATTCTTTCCTGATAACTGTGTTTTTAAGTTGTTGTTTTTTTCTTCAAAAGGGCAAGAGAGAGAGAGAGAAAGGCGCGTTGTGCCAGATTTCACAGCGCGAGCTGCCGTCAAGCAAACATTTAAACGGCCCCCCGCGTCGTCGCGAGACACCCTGCAAGCACGCACGCGCCCGCTTTATCGATCGCGCAATTTCCTTTTGTGGAGCTCACGTCTCTCTCTCGTCTTACCCTTCGAGATTGTTCCCTTGGGCGCTCGAGTCCTTTGCCTTGGCAGCATTAGCAACATTAGCAGTCCCAACAACAGCAGAAGTAGCAGCAGCAGCAGTAGCAGCAATAACCACAGCGGCAGCCTGCCTCTGCGATAGCCGTAACCCCATGGGCTGTGCCCGCTGCCTGTATCTTTCGAGGCTGCGGTGTAACTGTGGTCCTTTGAGTTGTATATTTTGTAGTCGTAGTCTTCTTAGAGTGTCGGCGAAGATTGGGGGGGGGGGCGCGTGGAGTTTTAATCGAGTCTCAGTGTGCTGATTTCGCTCCGCTGCTTTTCTCATTCTGCTCGATTTAAAGCGATCAAGTTTTCAGTCGACTGTTGTTGACAACGCCGTGGTCTTAAATAGAACAACAACAACAAAAGGTTTCTGTTGGGCGACGTCGCACGGGCCACAGTCCTTCGTCGCAGCACGTGCAGAGGCCAGAGAGGGCAGCCTCCCTCTCTCTCTCTCTGCGCCGTGAAGATTGGCGATTGTCCAAAATGTATCCGATTTACAAACGTTTCATTTCTAAGACCGCAGTGTTACTGACGAATGCGTTGAATGTCGTTGTTGTTGTTATTTGTGCAGCAGCAGCGGCATCACCAACATAATTTGTTCCATAATACAGGTTGTTTTAGATCGCGTAAATATATAATTGTGTCGTTAAAACCGCCACCACCCGACACAGCCAACTAGTAAAGTTTGTCACGTAAACAGAACGTGGCCAATTCGTCACTAGTACAGCCACACCGGTGTGTTGGAGAGCAAATCCGCAACATTTACAATCACGAGTACGACGTTTCGCCAGTAATTACAACCAATGTGTTTAAACTCACAATCTGTTCCCACTGCCATCGGCTCAGAGCCCGTCAAGTGAGCACACGTGCCCTTTGTCGGTGCTCTCGCGGCCTCGAGCGACGGGCACTGCGTTGACTCGCGCGAGGTGGTGACTCTCTGCCTCATCCCCCCCCCCTCACAGGAGCACGACGAGCCCATCCTCAAGCACCTCCTGGACATCACCGTCTCGCTGTCAGAGGACGAGGTCCCTCCCGTGAGGCTCGCACGGCAACAAACCCGGCAGTCGGAAGCCGGAGCGCATGACAGTCCGGTGCACATCACGCACACATCACGCACATCACGGCACGCGCATCACGGCACGCACAACAACAACAAACAACAACAAACAACAACACCAGCCGCCATTCGCCACCTAAGTGTCGGGTCAGGTGCACTTTGAGGCGACGTGAAGTGTCGAAGGCTCGCTGCTAGCAGGAGGTCACTGGACAGACACCCAGGTACCATGAGTTGACCGACTGAGATGACTGGCAGACGCGCCAGTTGTGCCATGGGTTGACCGACTGAGATGACTGGCAGACGCGCCAGTTGTGTCCGCTACTGTGCTAACTACGCTGCACTTTATCCGCCTGGCGCTCCGCTCGTTGGCGTGAGCGTCGCTCCTCTGCCGCCCGTTGTTGCCGGAGGGCGGCTGCCTCCCAACTGCCCAGTAGCAGCGTCCTTCACGAGCCTCCTCCAGCACGCACAACCTGCATATCTGTCGATATGACTTAGCCTGCTCGTGTGACTGACTACGCGACGCCACTGCCACTCACGTTACCGGTAGCGATCACAGTCGGGGTGCGACCAAATCACCCGCAATGCGAGCCCCGATCTCGCCTCGATCTCGGAAGCTAAGCAGGGGTTCGAAGCCTGGCTAGTGCCTGGACGCATCGATCGCGTACGCACGAACAGGCTTGCCGTAGGCTGCTTCGGCGCCGTGCATAGCGGGGCAGCGGGGAGCAGTGAAGCAGCACCAACGGCTGTCCTGCGCGGCTATGCTCCCTGCTGTTCATCGAGCCGTACCGACCAGAGTGGTGAAGTATGGTCGTAAGGACATATACAGCATGGGCGGGGGGGGGGCTTCATCCGGTTTACACGCATCCACGTCATGTGCCCTCGTTTTAGTGATGGGGTAAATTTCTCCACTCCCCCCCACCACCCTCTCCATTTATATTGGTTATGCAATCGTACTAGAATATTGTTTGAAGCTAAATTGTCATGGACTCCAGTGGGAAAGAGATAGAGAGAGAAATATAACTAAACGATCAGATTAAGCGATGTGTGCAGCCTGCATCGTGACAATAGTGGAGCTGGCGACGGGGCTTAATCAGATGGAGGAGCTGTTCCTATACACAGACAAAGATCACCCGTATAGCCTTAGCGGACTGTCGGGGCAAGTGCTGTTAGCGAATAGCCACCTATGAAGGACGGAACCGCACACGAGGGGGTGGGTGGCCAGCACCGCGCCCGACCGCCTTTGTCTCCCCCAGTGGCAATGTTTACAAACCGCATCAGGTAATCATTTGAGGCTGAGTCGACCTAGGGGGACTTTTCGCGGCTGCGAAAAGTCCTCGCGGCAAACACCGCCGACCCACCGCGCCGATTAATCGCGATCACACTGGGGGGGGCGGGGCGGGGGGGGTGCACGTGCCCCCCGCGGCTCATTCCTCGGTCCAAAGAGAAGGAAGACGCCGAGGGGTGGAGTGGGGGGTGGGTGGCGGGGGATGGGGATGAGATGGGGGGGACGAGCGCGTGACGGATGTGGCGGTGTTGTCGATCCCAGCTGTGCAATCGTCGCAGGCGCAGAGTGTTTGTGTGTGGGGTGGGGTGGGGGGGGCAGCTCGTTATTGCGAGCTGCGCGTCAGCACTTGTCCGCGTGTCGCTGCTCGCGAGCTGCGTAGCGAACGCCACGCGGCGCGCGGACAAATCGTCGTGGAGGCAGCGTAATACATGGCGACAGGTGGTGGGCTTAATTCAGCAGCGGATAGATCATGGCTGATAATGCGCGTCTGTAATCCGGCGGCACTGTGGAGGCGTGGGTTGGTGGATCAACACGTGTTTTTTCTTTTTAAATCCTTTATATTAAGTTCGCTTGCTTGCTTAGGACCGTGCAAATCATTCGGTCGTTTTTTAACCCACTTCCCGTGATCCAATCGAGCTGATATTTTGCACACAGACTCGTTGTGCGTGACAATTAATGTTTGAGAATTTTTTTTTCCAAAATGTTACATTTTTTAGGACAAAAATATTATATTTAATTACCAATTGCTTAATGGTGCAATGCAATCATCTGACCCATAGGTGGCAGCCATCTCAAGCCAGAGGACGAGAGGACTCTAGCCGCCACGCATTTAAAGGATTTATAGTGAAAAACTTTGTTTTTACGGGTTATACTTATTGTCTTCCGATGTGCCCATACACCCTTGGCTCTGCCAGGAGATGGGGAAAGGGGTGGTACGGCAGAGTGTGGACTCACATCATCGGTACCTCCCGTATGGGATCGGGTCTTGCCCCCTCGCGCGCTCGAGTTCTCTCCGACTGCTCCAGTTTTCCTCCGACCTGTGTATATATATATACCTTCATTAATTGGTTGAAAACATTATTCATATGTCGAGGACTGCAGAGCTTGAGCAATCGTTGCTCGTGCCAGCTCCACCCGTCTGGCTGCTGTTGCCTTCCACCTCGTGTCTGCGGATCCACGGCGATTGCGCGATGCGGTTTTGCACGAACACGACGCTATGTAAAACTAAACATCATTATTAGTAGTGGTACTTTATTATCATGCATCTGCCATATATATGCAAACACATGCACAGCGTGAGCTCGTGTGGCAGGTGTTGGCTGGATTGTTACTTCGCAGGGCGGGTGAGAGGTGGCAGTGGCTTGGGGGGGGAGGGGAGGTGTGGGTTGTCTTCATCCCGCAGTGGATAGAGCACGCACGCACAATGGCGTGCGCGTGCCATATCACAAATCCGGGAGCCCATCTGTTGGCACGGCCGAGGATGGGGCGCTCCTGCAGGGTCATTGCAGTCCGTTGACAATTAATTTCACGCACGGCTAACTGATCCCATGTAGATCACATTACATTAAATAGACCTCGGCGTCGCTGGCACCCGTCCAGGGTACAGTGGCCCACTTTTGCGCGTGGTGTAGTGCAAATATATGGTGCATGTATACACACACGCACGTTGTATTGTGTGTTCGCGCGCTGCGCTACGACCCGGGTTCGATTCCCGCTCACGGTCAACACCGGTGACGATTATCTAAACCGGTCCTGGGCCTCCCCTAGGTCGACTTAGCCTCAATTGAGTGCCTGGTGCGGTGTGTAAACATCGCCACTGGGGAGACAAAGGCGGTCGGGCGTGGTGCTGGCCACCCACCTCGTTTTGTGCCGTGCCGGGCCTTCATAGGTGCTCGCTAACAGCACTTGACCCAACAGTCTGTGTGCGCTATACCATGGATCTTTGTCTGTGTTCACTCAATTCAACAGCCGCCCGAGATCGATTCCTACTCACGGCCATCGCCAGAGACGATTATCTGAACCGGTCCTGGGCTGCTCCTAGGTTGACTCGGTCTCAATTGAGTACCTGGTGCGGTGTGTAGACATCGCCACTGGGGAGACAAAGGCGGTCGGGCGTGGCGCTGGCCACCCACCCCCTCGTGTGCCGTGCCGTCCTTCATAGCACTTGCACCAGCAGTGTGTGAAGGCTGTATGGGGGATCTTTGTCCTTAGTATTTGACCATACTTCGCCATGCTGGTGAGTGCGTGTCGGTGTGCCCACTATGCACAGCTCCACGCGGAGTTGGAAGTTCCCCAAGCCGGCAGGACATTGTCCAAATGGTGCAGTGCATGTTGCGCGTGTGTGCGGGGAGACAAAGGTGGCCGGGAATTACTCTAGCCACACCAGGGTCGCGTGGGGCCGTCCATAAATGACGTCACGCACCTGGGGGGGGGGTCAGACATTTGTGACGAAGTGTGACGACGGGGGGGTTGAGAAATGTGACGTCACATCAAAATGCGCAACTTTAAATAAATATAGACAACACGTTCTACTTAATTAAATCGACTTTTTTCATAAAGATTTCCTCCCACAATATCAGAGTGCAGCGCCACATTAAATACGCACTACAATGACAATAGTTTAAAGCGATTTGAAGCATGTTTATTTTGTTGCGGGGGGGGGGGGCAGAGCTTTGTGACGTCATATTTGAGGGGGGGGTCTTACTTTTTGTGACGCCGTGTGACTGGGGGGGGGGGGGGGGGTGGGGTCAAAAATCGTCCAAAATCGCGTGACGTCATTTATGGACGGCCCCCGTGCCACGTCTGTCTTGATAGGTGCTCGCAAACAGTGCGTGATACCCCAACAGTCTCTACGTGTCCGCGGGGCGTTGACGTACGTGGGCAGCGGTGGCGTAGTGGTTAGCGCACTGCGCTACGGGCCCGCGACCCGAGTTTAATTCCCGCTCAGTTTTCTGCCGAAGATTAAACAATAATCATCATAATAATCCATACAATGTAACCGGTATTGGCCAAACATCCTGACGCTGAAAACAATATCAGCGGATTACTCAATTGGGATTGCACACCGGCATCGACATCACCACCCCAACCCCCACAACTGCCAACATTTTGGCAGGCACCTGGGTAAACACTCGTCATAATAGATCATTAAAAATAAATAATTACAGTCGACTTTCGATAATCCGGGATAATGTTTTGGGGGAGGGGAGGGGAGGGGAAGGGGTGACTCAGATGAAACAAGATAACTAACGCACCGCCTGTAAATTCTACCTTCACCAACGTTGCAAAGTCGGTGAAGGCGCGGTACAACACAATGTGGCCGCCTGTTAGTGTCACACATTTTTCATATTTGTTTCACGAATCGGTTTACTTGCCGCCCGCCTGCCCGCCCGCCGCCGCCGTCATCGCGTTTGCCGTCACGTGACCGAAGACCCTCGACGAGTGAGGAGCGGCCGAACAATAAAACTTCCCGCTTCGAGCGTGTAAAAACAGCAACGCAAACATTATCTCAACTTTATTTTTTATTTTTTCGCGGACCTGGTAATCCACCAAACGGATTACCGATTATTGAACTGTTCAAATCAGATGATTTAATTATTTATACTGGAGGAATCCCATGAGCTATAAATCTATTTTTTTCCACAGATGGAGCGGTGGGCATTGCTGCTCTCTTCGCCAGGGTTAGGGAGCAG